ATTTGGAAGACAGCTACCTGGCCAACTGACTGGAAGAGATCCATATTTGTACCCATTCCAAAGAAAGGTGATCCCACAGAATGTGGAAATTGTCAAACAATATAATTAATATCACATGCAAGTAAAATGTTGCTGAAAATATAATTCAAAAATGCTTGCAGAAGTATGTTGACAGAGAACTTCCAGAAATGAGAGCTAGATTCAGAAAAGGACATGGAATGAGTGATATCATAGCTGATGTCAGATGGATCTTGGCTCAAAGCAAAGAATACCAGGAAGATGTTTACTTGTGTTTTATTAACTATGCAAAAGAATTTGATTGTGTGGATCATAACAAATTATGAGTAACATTGAGAAGAATGGGAATTCTGGAACACTTGATTGTGCTCATCAAGAACCTGTACATAGACTGGGAGCTTGTCGTTCAAACCAGACAAGGGGATACTGCATGGTTTAAAATCGGAAGGGAGTGTATCAGGGTTGTATCCTTTCACCACATTTACTCAATCTGTATGCTGAGCAAATAATCCAAGAAGCTGGACTATATGAAGAAGAAGGAGGCTTCAGGATTTAAGGAAGACTCATTAACAATCTGCAATATGCAGATGACACAACTTTGCTTCTGAAAGTGAAGATGACTTGAAGCACTTATTGATGAAGATTAAAGACTACGGGTCTTCAGTAAGGATTACACATCAGCATAAAGAAAACAAAAATTCTCACAACTGGACCAATAAGCAGCATCATAATAAGTGGAGAAAAGATTGAAGTTGTCAAAGATTTCATATTACTTGTTAGTTCCATAAGCAACACCCATGGAAGCAGCAGTCAGGAAATCAGATATTGTATTGCCCTGGGTAAATCTGCTGCAAAAGACCTCCTTAAAGGGCTGAAGAGCAAAGATGTCTCTTTGAAGACTAAGGTGCACCTAACCCAAGCCATGGTGTTTTCAATTGCTTCATATTCATGTGAAAGCTGGACAATGAATAAGGAAGACCAAAGAAGAGTTGATGCTTTTGAGTTGTGGTGTGGGTGAAGAATATGGAAAGTATCATGGACTGCTAAAAGAACTAACAAATCTGTCCTAGAAGAAGTGCAGCCGGAATACTCCTTGGAAGCAAGAATGGCCAGATTTCGTCTCACCTACTTTGGTCATGTTGTTAGAAGGGACCTGCCAAAGGAGTAGGCAGGCCACATCTTCTGACCTCCTCTAACCCCATAAGAGGAAGACAGAATCACCATCAGTAGCCCAAGGCCTATTTCTGTGAGGCCAGACATGCCACCTCCCTCCAGCCCTTTCATCAACATTTACACCAACCGTTCCTCCTGCAGAACCCACCACTTTCTGCTGGGTTCGATAATTTTCTGCAGTGGCCACACAGAACTCACATATTATGGGTTTTATTAGGAAAGCACCAGGCTACAATTCAAGTTCAAGAACAACACTCAGTCTTTCTCAGCCCGTCATCTCTCAACCAACAGTCTCTCTCAGTCTCTCTCCCAGCAGTGTGTGCCTCTCAGTGTCTCTCTCAGCAATGCATGTCTCTCGGTGTCTCTCTCTCAGCAGTGCATGTCTCTTGGTATCTCTCTCTCAGCAGCGTGTGTTTCTCAGGAGTGCATTTCTCTCAGTAATACTTCTTTCTCAGCCAGCAGTCTAGAAGGGCTCCTTTTGAGCCTGGCAGAGTGACTACTAACCAATCCCAACATCAGAATTTTATACACCTGAGAGAGAGTGAACTTCTCAGAAGATTGCTTCATGCTGCTCCGAACAGAAATACCCCAGGTGGATAACTTTAGCAATCAGGAGCTACTCAGTTACTCATGGCAAATTCCACCATGAGTTTACAAAGACTTATGGCTAGAAAAGCCACACTATGTAATTTATTATGGTGCAGGATCATTCCCTGGAGAAGGAAGGGCCAGGAAAAAAGGGGAAGGCCTTCGAGGAGGTGGATTGACACAGTGGGTGCAACAATAGGCTTGGGTATAGCAAGGATTGTGAGGCTGGCCCAGGACTGGGCAGTGTTTCATTCTGTTGTACATAGGGTAACTATGAGTTGGAGCCAACTGGCCGGCACCTAACAACAACAGCAGCAGCAACCTAAGACACTCCCTTGTGCAACTTTATGTTCCACCTCCATCCCTTGATTCAATACTCTTGGAATCAAATCCCAGAGACAATCTTTCACCTTCTGATGTACATGTTAGCTAGGATCTGTAAAATTTTCAGGGTATATTACCTTTTTTATTTAGTAGGCCCAGCACTTCCCCTGTTGGTTTATATTGCAACTTATCTTCAGTTACTAGCCAGGAGTGAAGATGGGAACAGATCTTGAGGTGAAAGTACATGTTGTCTTGAAGGACAGAGACTTCTTAATCATCTTCAAGAGAGAGGAAAGCATTAGTTCTTAAGGAGGAATGGGTCTCTTCTATAGACTGAAAGGGTTCAGGAGAATCTGGGGATTTAAGATATGAATGAATCAATCCAGTTGTGTCAATATTTTAGGTTTCCATTCTTTCCCAACCAGAACCTTGACCTTGCATAGCTGACTTGCTTAGCTTGACAATTTAACATTCTTTGTTGTTGTTGTTAGGTGCTATCTTATGAAATGTTCTGGTCCTGAGCTTTCTCTGCCCATCCACTGCAGAAGAAGAGTTTCTTAATGTACTTTTCACTGTTTCTTCCAAAGGATTAATGACCTCTAGCAATAGCCATCCAATTCCATTGTCTTTAATTATTTCCCTGTATTTCTCAAATGCCTGGTATACTGCACCCTAGTGCGCTTCCACCTGTGTACTATGCCAGTTCATCACCAGGGAAGTTAATCAATTATAATGGTATCTTGTGCCTGTGCTTCATCTACAACCAGGGATGAGGTCCTCATTGCCAGCCAGGCAGCAGATGATAGAGCTCTAAAACCCCATGTCAGCATCTGCTTTCTAACCCTCTTGGCTTCTCCATGAAACAAACTCTGAGCTGGAGACTACAATGCAGAAAGTTTCCAAGGGAGTACTTTTTTTTTTTTTTTCCAAATTTGTATTGTGATTTGGTGAAAGTTTACAGAGCAAATTCACTTTCCATATGGCAGCTGACATATACTTTTTCTCATTACATCGACTGCAATTTCCCACAATGCAATAGCTTCCCTCCTACTTCCTCCCCATAGTTACTTCTTCCCTGTGTCCTTCCCTCCATTCACTCCTGTCCCCTGAGCTGTCTCCTTGTGCATACACAGCCCTTCTGTTCTCCCATGATTATTCTCTTCAAGGAGTGTATCTACCTAACATAAATGTTCATATGCCTGTCTTTTGTTTGGCTGGAAGCCACAGGAGTGGGTTCAGTTCCAGACCCGAAGGGCAACTAAGGGCCATAGTCTCAGTGGTTCCATCAGGCTCTATCAGACCAGCAAACCTGGTCCAAGGGAGTGCTTTTAGGAGAAATACTTGGGAGGGCACTGGGAAGAAGGAATGAATAAAGGAAGAAAATGAGCTGCAAAACAGTCCCAACAAAGCCTCAGATGAGCCCTCAGGGAGCTCTGAGTCTAGGCTGGCCTTTCTGAGTTGCCCAAGTTCATTAAGGAGCCAGGTTTTTATGTACCCTTATCAAGCAGTGATTGGATGCAGGCTTCCCTGAGAAGGGGTATGAATTCAGACAAGGTGGCTCTCTTCAGCAGAGATTAATTTGACTATATCCTCAGTTCTGAAGAATGGATCTGGACAGGGCAGAACAGAATCCATCAATGATGCTGGCAAGATTTTCGGAACTAAAAGATACAGAACGAATATCCTCAGGTAGAGGAAGCCCTTCTTGCTAAGGCATGATTGTTTTCACCATCAAACAAAAAACAAAAACCCACTGCCATAGAGTCATATCCAACTCATAGTGATCCCTCCTTGGGTTTCCGAGGCAGTATCACTACAGAAGTAGATTGCCCAACCTTCCCTCCAAGGAGTAGCTGGTGGGTTTGAACTGCCAGCCTTCTGGTTAACAGTCAAATGTCTTAGGCACTACGCCACCAGAGCTCCTGTTTTCACCATATACTACTTTATATGATTTGATTCTAGTTAAAAAAATTTTTTTTTTTGCACTCATTGTAAAATAATTGTAAAGGCATTTTGTTGTTAAGAGTTCTAGAAACATCTGAACCAGAATAATTATTCCCTGAGTTTAGGACAGAGATGCGAGACAGCTTAACTCTTTGGTAATACTTGTGCTTTAATAAAGTGACATTTGAAAATACACAGATATCCGGGGGGAAGAAAAGGTAAAGCAGTATGAGGTATTGAGACACCGTTGTGCTTTCCTTGGAGTCTTAAGTTTCTATCACAATAGCTGTCATCCTCCCAGATAAGCAATGCCCACTGATCTACAAACACATCCAATGGTCATATTAAAATAATACAATTCACACTGTGAAACACATATACCCACTCTACAAATTCACTGTGTTACATCTTTTTTTTTTTTTTTTTCCATAAGAGGCATATCTGTACTTCACAATTGGAGTTGGCTTCCTGATAACAACAACAAAAATTTGACTTGTCAATTTGCTCCTCAAACTGAATTATTTTAAAAGTATAATTTATTCTTTAAAGCAATTTTATAGGCTTGAGAACCTTGTTAATTTCATAGTACAGTTAACTGAATATGATAGAAAGGAAATTCAGGCATTTTCTAGAACAATAGGATAGATAATAGCGTTAAAGCATAAACTTACATCTTTAAAAGTTTATGAGAAAAAAAGTGATATCAATTTAAACTTCTTTTCAGGTGTTTAAAATTTTGTATAACTTTTTGTCCCAAGATTAATAATTTAACCATGGTACAGAAAAGATAGTAAACACATTGCCTGGTGTCAAGGTGGGGAAACCCTGTCTTTTATATAAAATCCGCTTCTAATCCGTCTTGATCCAAGTCCTGTTTGTCTGAAGGCAGATTACTCTCAAGGGGCCTAAAATTGTAATCAAAAGCTTTGTTTTCATACACTGGTTGATATTCTTGGTCAATTTCAGTAATGAAGCCACTTCCAGATCCCGATCCAGAGCCGGAGCCAGAGCCTGATCCAGAAAAGTCCTCAGAAAAAGGGAAGACATCATGCAAGTTCTGGAACTTCATCTTTCTGAAGTATGACAGGAAAACAAAACACATAGTAAAGTTTGAGAAAGAAGGAAGATAATCATATCATAACACAGAATTTTAAGATAAGAAAACAAATGCAGGCCCAGTTGCTTAAATTAAAAAAGTGAAAAACCAAAAACCAAACTCACTGCTGGTGAGTCTGATCCAACTAGTAACGACCCCTCCTTGGGTTTCTGAGGTGGTATCTCTAGGGAAATAGATTGCCCAACCTTCCTTCCGAGGATTAGCTGGTGGGTTTGAACTGCCAGCTTCTGGTCAGCAGTCAAATGCCTTAGGCACTATGCCACCAGAGCTCCTAAAAGAGTAAAAGCTTCCCCATTTAAAACAACTATATATATATGTATGTATGTATATATGTGTATATATATATGTATATATATACATATATATGGGAGCTCTGGTAGCATAGTGGCTAAGACACTTGCCTGCTAACCAGATGGCTGGCGGTTCAAACCCACCAGCCACTCCTCGGAAGGAA